TCTCTCTCTCTCTCTCTCTCTCAAAAGTAAACATTTAAAAAAAAAATAAAAAATGAGGAAAGGATCTCATGATGTGGAACGAGAAGCAGGACGGCCGCGAGATCAGGCAGGGCAGTGAAGGCCAGAGCTCAGGCAGCCAGAATGGAGAGCTGAGCCCATGGCAGGGCTCCCAGGCCGACCGGTCCCTCCTGCTCTCTGTCCCTCCAGAGAGGCTCCAATTACGGCTCCCTGCTGACCACAGAGGGCCAGTTCCAAGTGTTTGCCAAAACGGCATATTATAAGGTGGGCCAGGGGAAAGACTGCGGGTCCTTGGGGTGGGCAGGGCTGCCCTCCAACGGCTCAGGACGGGCCCCAGGGCCACTGTCAGCAGTTGCCGTCACCACCACTGGGCCATCTCACCATGCAGCCTCCATTCCTTGCCCAGGGCAACCTCGTGGCTGTGAAGCGTGTGAACCGTAAGCGCATCGAGCTGACTCGTAAAGTGCTGTTTGAACTGAAGCATGTAAGTGGGGCTGCGAGGCAGTGGCCTAGGAGAGGTCCCAGGGACACAGGAGGTGGGGGGACCCCAGGGTGTCTTAAGAAAGGGATGGGCCCTGCATATTGTGCTAAGAGAGAGGGTTCCAGAGGGGAGAAGAGACTAGTAGAGGAAGCCTAGAGGAGGTTCCTTGAGGGGCTGTGCTCGATGCCCCTGGTGGGTGGAGGGATCAGGAGGCAGAGTGAGCCGGAGGAGGTACCGCAGGGGGAGTCACCGGACTCCTAGAGTGTCTGCAGAGAATGAACGGGCACTGAGAACACTGAGAGGCCCCTGAGGGTGGAGGGCCACTTGGTGAGGAGGGACGTCTCTGCCAGGCTCCTGATGCTGGCTTCCCCCTGCAGATGCGGGATGTACAGAACGAACACCTGACCAGGTTTGTGGGTGCCTGCACTGACCCCCCCAACATCTGTATCCTCACGGAGTACTGTCCCCGTGGGAGTTTGCAGGTGAGGGGACAAGAGGAGGGGGGTCAGGAGATGTGGGCCTAGCCCTGGTCCTGTTCCCCGCTACCGTATGACCCCCAGGCAAACCTCCTCCTTTCTGCCCTTTACCTGCCCCATCTGTAAACGGGGAGGGGGGCACTAGAGTAAATCCAAGTTTTTGTCTTTTTGTGCCTGGGCCGTCTTTGTGTGACTGGGCCCCTGCACCCCTCCTGGGGTCTGCCGGGTGCGTGCCTCACTCTTATTGCCCAGCAGGACATTCTGGAGAATGAGAGCATCACCTTGGACTGGATGTTCCGATACTCTCTTACCAATGACATCGTCAAGGTAAGCCCGGAATCCCCCATGCGACGTGCGGGGAGGGGCCAGGCAGGCGTCTCCCCTGGCCCTGGTTGTAGGGTCTCACTTGCACCGAAGACCTCGGCCTCCGCAAATTTCCAGGGTATGCTGTTCCTGCACAATGGGGCCATTTGCTCTCATGGCAACCTCAAGTCTTCCAACTGTGTGGTGGACGGGCGCTTCGTGCTCAAGATCACTGACTTCGGGCTGGAGAGCTTCAGGGACCCGGAACCAGAGCAAGGCCACACCCTCTATGCCAGTGAGCCCACACTCTGCCCCCTAAGACCTGCCCCCCGCCAAGCACAGCCCGGCGGGGGCAACTGATGCCAGACCTCTGAAGGGCTTGGCATGCCATTCTGGATTCCTGCTTTGGCTCATTCGCCAGTGGAAAGGGGAGCCCGACGCAGCGGTCTGGAGGCTGTGTCTTTGTAGCATTCGGCCTGATGGCCGCACACTGCTCCAGCCACGTCTTCTAGGACCTTGTTCCCCCCCCTCCCCGACACACCCCCACCCCTCAGCTTTAGGGCCCTTCGCCCGGTCACTCCTGACCTCTAACCTGCAGAAAAGTTGTGGACAGCCCCTGAGCTCCTGCGAATGGCCTCACCCCCTGCCCGGGGCTCCCAGGCAGGTGACGTGTACAGCTTTGGAATCATCCTTCAGGAGATTGCCCTGAGGAGCGGCGTCTTCCATGTGGAGGGTTTGGACCTTAGCCCCAAAGGTGAGAGGACCATGGAGTCCCCTAGCCCTGCCACAGCTGCACCTGAGCCCGGCCCCAGGGTGAGGGACCCCTGCAAACACCACCACACCTGCCTCCTGGAAGGTTCTGTTGCTGCCAGTGACTCCGCTGTCTGCCTGCCCACCTGCCCCGGGGTCCCAGCCTGCTCCTGGACCTCCCCCCTGTGTCTCTCACTAGCCCTGGGCTGGCCCCAGCCCTCAGCCCCTCCTGCCTCACCACAGAGATCGTGGAGCGTGTGACTCGGGGTGAGCAGCCCCCCTTCCGGCCCTCCCTGGCCCTGCAGAGTCACCTGGAGGAGCTGGGGCAGCTGATGCAGAGGTGCTGGGCTGAGGAGCCGCAGGAACGGCCCCCCTTCCAGCAGATTCGCCTGATGCTGCGCAAGTTCAACAGGTTGCTGGTGTTTGTGTGTCCCCCGTGCCCAACAGCTACCCTGTGCCCCACACTTAAGTCTTTTCTCCCAGCAGTGGCAAGGGACCCCACTGCGGCCCGTCGGCCCCTCCTCAGTGGTACAGAGCAGAGGGGAGCACATACTCTTGTCCTCCAACCCAGCCCCGGGGGCCATCTGTTGCACTGTGCCCCACAGACCCCCCACACACCCCTCTGCCAGCCCGTGTGCCCACACTCTGTCCTCAATTGATCCCTGTTCACCTGCTTCTAACTTGCTTCTGTTCAACAAAGATGAACGAAGTAGCCAGTATCTCTGGAGCTTCCAGACTCTGGGGTCTCAGAGATGAATGGAACTTTCTTCCTACCCTTTCCCCTGCCACGCCCACCCTGCCATGCTCCCCAGGCCTGGCCTTCTCCGCTGCCCTGCACAGGGGCTGACATGGCAGCCTGGGTCTGGTGAGCTGGGGAGGGCGCTCTGGGCAGCTCTCTCACCGCCTCTGCCCTGCTCCCGGGGCCTCAGGGAGCACAGCAGCAACATCCTGGACAACTTGCTGTCCCGCATGGAGCAGTATGCCAACAACCTAGAGGAGCTGGTGGAGGACAGGACCCAGGCCTACCTGGAGGAGAAGCGCAAGGCCGAGGCCCTGCTCTACCAGATTCTGCCCCAGTGAGTGCCCACGTGTGGTGACCCTCTGCCACCCTGTCCCAGCCCCACCTCCTGCGCTTATCCTATACCTGCCCCTGACCCCACAGCTCAGTGGCTGAGCAGCTCAAGCGTGGGGAGACGGTCCAGGCTGAAGCCTTCGACAGTGTGACCATCTACTTCAGCGACATTGTGGGCTTCACGGCCCTGTCGGCAGAGAGCACGCCTATGCAGGTCAGTGCGGCACGGCCACAGGTGAGGGCCAGGCAGGCTGTGCTTGGCCAGCCTTTCTGTCCCATCAGGACTGCCTTCCGGTCCCATTTTTCCCACTTGAGCCCAGATGGGCTCCCTGACTCCATACCCGTCTTGGCTTCTCTTCCCTTCCAGGTGGTGACCCTGCTCAATGATCTGTACACCTGCTTTGATGCCGTCATAGACAACTTTGATGTGTACAAGGTGAGGGTGGGAGCAGGGATGGAAGGGGACAGAAAGATGGTGATGGGCAGGGTCAGAGAAGGGTGACGGGCAGAATGACATAGAGCCTCAGGAGAGGAGACCATGGGACATGGGCAGAGACTGTTACCCGGAGACCCAGGGACAGGCAGGGAAAGGACGCCACAGATGAGGTTACCAAACACATGTGGGGCGGCACAGGGAGGAGAAATTTCCGGTGTTAATGCCCTGCATCCTCTGGTGGGCCCGGCAGGTGGAGACCATTGGCGATGCCTACATGGTCGTGTCGGGGCTCCCCGTGCGGAATGGGCTGCTTCACGCCCGTGAGGTGGCCCGCATGGCCCTGGCGCTTCTGGATGCTGTGCGCTCCTTCCGCATCCGCCACCGGCCCCAGGAGGAGCTGCGCTTGCGAATCGGTGTCCACACAGGTGAGGGAGACAGATGGACAGACAGACAGACAGACAGACACACACACACACACACACACACCTGGATTCCCAGGGTCCTCGGGTCCACCACTTGACTCTCATGGAACACCCCTCCCCACCCCCTCCAGGACCCGTGTGCGCCGGCGTGGTAGGGCTGAAGATGCCTCGCTACTGCCTCTTCGGAGA